CTAATACACTCCCAGGCTTCATTAGTTGAAGTTCAGTGCCCAGCACCAGGGAAGTATAGTCTCATTATTCTCTTTCTTCTCCTGCAAATAAACTTGGAAGAATATATTCATTTTGGGGTGCTACATTATGAAAGGGATGCTGACAAACTCGCACGCACGTGGAAAAAAGTGATAGCGATGGTGAAGGTCGTGGCAACGTTGATATGTTACAACTGAGCATGAGTCGTGTGAATGAAAAATATTGCCTGCCGTATCAGGAAGCAAAGGATGCTGCAGCCATCAAGCCATCACATTACAGCCGCCCTGACAGTGAGCCCTGAGGGACCTCAGGATGGAGGCAAGATGCCCCCCATCTAGCAGTCAGCCGCTGCAGCTACCCCCTGACGGTGCCCCCTGAGGAGACTTAGGATGGGAAAGCGCAGGATACCGGCCCCAGAGAGCTGAGGTGCACATCAAAGCAATGATTTCAGTGAGCCCAGACTCTTGCATCTTCCCATACACAGAAAATCACTAAGCTCCTTAACTTGAGATGTCTGGTTTTCTTTAATTAACAGGCATCTTTTGATATTCCGACTACCTGGTCTTTGTTGCAGAAACTCCTATGTCTCCCGGCTTCCCCTCTTACTTCTTTGGAGCAGTCCCTCAGAGTGACCTGAGATGCTGGGTCCCAGGCTTAAGTCCTCAGTTTTGTACACCGAATAAAACATAACTTTTAACTTTTAGGTTGTGCTTTTTTTTTTTTCAGTCAACAGTTGTAATAATAATAAATGTTGCTATTCCTACAACTGAGAAGGGATGGCCTTGTACAGAGTTGGTTAACTTCAAAAACAGGAAGGCTATCACAGAGAAGAGAAATTAGACTTTTTAGTATGCAGTTGGAGGGCAGATGCTGCAGATAGGGAGATGTTTGCTTAATGTAAGAAGTTCTGAAAAATCACGGTTACCCTGAAATGGAATAAAATGCCCCATGAGGTAGCGATTACAGTGAATATTTAAGATATTTGAACAACATCAAATGACTACTGGAGCTGATACTGCCTTTCTTCTTTTAGTAAAATAACCCCTTTCCTCCTGCTACCAAGTTTTAGCAGGTATCACGGCGGCCCACTTTTCGTGTCCTCCCCCACAGCTGGGTACCTGGCCGTGGCCACATGACTGAGTTCTTGCTCCTGGGAGGAGAGCAGGAGTTTGCTGCTTGCTTCAAAGAGCATGACTTGCCTTCACTCATCCTCTCTCTCTTCCTATGGGCTGGAATGAGAGGGGAAGAGCTAAGCTAGGGAGCTTTGTCCACACAGGCAAGGATGACACCCTGGTACAAGGCAGAGTAACAAGACGGGTCCCAGGGTTACCTGCTGACCCTGGACCACCTGCCTAACCAGCTACAGTTCCATGAGAGGGAAAGAGAGACATGTTTAGCTGGAGCTTCTGTATTTTTGAGTCTCTCTGTTAGAGTGGCTTAGCCTGGGTCCTAACCAAAAACCATTTTTTGGAGATGTACATAGGATTAAGGTATTATATAAGGGTTTGTAAGAGATGATTTCTATAATAATTGTATATACACACCCCCAGCAAATTTATCTCCTTCGAAAACGAGTTGTCCCAACAGACCATACCATAGTCAAACATAATCAGTCTCCTATGTCAGTCACCTCGTTTTTTTAAAGTACCAATGTTCAAAAAAGTCAAGAACTTTTGATCTCCTGCTTTTCTTTTATCCCTTTATCAAGTCTGTTCCAAAGCTTATCTTCTTTTCCTTTAGAAAACATCCTCTGCAAAACTACAGTACAGATGATAAAGACATTTTAAAGTTCTCTCTGTGGTTATCTAATCTTAAGGATTGGTTTAAAAAAATACAGAAACGTGATGTATTATTTAGCCTGCCAGTGATAACATTCTTCTTCAGTTATTTATTTTCCCTTAGGGGAGAAAATCAGAAGTCCAGCCCTCACTGAAGTTGAAGATTTGGATAATGCAAATGTTTTGGCTCACAATGTATCAGGAATCCAACATAATTTGGTCAGCACTCCCGGCCAAAAGAATATTCTGATGTATTAAATGGATTTCTAAGTAAAATAAAGTAGCTGAGCTAATGAATTGTGATCCTGGCCTCTGTGCTTGGGTCCTAGGAGGAAATAAGCCAGTGCCAGATGGACCTTTAATTCTGTCTCATAGATATGCCACTTCTATTTCAATTTCCATCTCTCTACCCATGTTTTTCCTCTTAGACATAACGTCCTTTCCTCTTACCTCCTAACTTACGCGCACTCTACAGATTCAAGATTTTGCTCTGTAATTTTCCTTCTCTTAATTTATCCAGTAGACCTGTGGTACATAACTCTGAATCTAACGTAGTTGCCGATTGTTGTTCCACATTTCATTTCTATCCACAGTAGCTGCTCTACATGTCATGTTTTCTTTGGAATTCTTCCTTTTCTAAGCCTATACCAGGTGTTTAATACATAGATTTGAAGCATGGATAATTAAAAGACATGGATCAGGCATTTTTTAAATGATATATTAATTGTCAATGAAGAACAAAATGGAAATCTATTGTCCTGCTGATTAAAAACAATTCATAAGGATGAATGAATGTGGGTTTTGTCACCAAAGGACCTTTCAAAAAAGAAAAGCTTCTGTGCATTTTCAGCTTTGCTATTAGCAGCACTTATACTGAGCATAAAGTCCTCATTCCATATCACGACTGCATAATATGGAAGTTATTCAGAACATCTCTTGGGACTTCCCTGGTGGCACAGTGGTTAAGAATCAGCCTGCCAATGCAGGGGACACAGGTTCGAGCCCAGGTCTGGGAAGATCCCACATGCCGCAGAGCAACTAAGCCTGTGTGCCATGACTACTGAGCCTGTGCTCTAGAGCCCGCGAGCCACAACTACTGAAGCCCGGGTGCTACAACTACTGAGCCCACGTGCCGCAGCTACTGAAGCCCGTGCACCTAGAGCCCGTGCTCTGCAATGAGAAGCCCGCACACCGTAATGAAGAGTAGCCCCTGCTTGCCGCAACTAGAGAAAGCCCGTGCACAGCAACCCAATGCAACCAAAAAAACACAAAAAACTCCCAAAAAAACCAGATCTTTCTCAATATTTGAAAATCCTGGGTCAATGAAAAACATCACCATCAGCTTCTCCAGCCCGTCTTTCTTGAGTCTCCTCACATGAACGACATTTTAAACTTTCTTTAGCTCTTGAGTTTTAGCTCCATTAAATTCGTCAACACATTCTTTTTTTTTTTCACGTAAAGAGAGAGACAATTACACTTTCTGAACCCTACTACCAACACAGAAAAAAACTAAGATGGAAAACTCATACTACTATTCAACAAATAACTTGTAGAGTCTCTAAAAGCCATTTCCCTTCAATGCAAAGAAGTAGGAGAAGGTGCATTTCAGCAAAGAGATGTCCGGGATCCGAGGGAAAGTGGAGATTATCTGAGGCAGTAATATTTCATTGAACTTCTGGAGCCATCGATTCAGAACGACCAGCTCTTTTCTAATTTATAGCGTGTTCTTCATGTCTGGCTGCCTGTTTAGCTGAAGGATCCTGTCCTGGGAGAGAATTCATTTGTCTCCTGGCAGAGTCCCGGAAGGAACCACGTAGGGATGCTGGGATGTGCATTTCAAACAGCATGGAACCCAAAACACTTTCGATGAACAGCAAGATACGTAGGAAAGGATATAATTAATTCAGAACACTCCCCTAACCCTTAATTTTGCAATGTTTCAGCCTAAATATACTTCCTCTTAAGGAACAGAAAAATCTTGAAAGAGAATTTTGAAATATATGGGCTAAACTTTAAAGTACAAAGTAATGAATGCTTACGGGAAACAGAAAGACCTTGGGGAAATCTAGAAATAGACTAACTTAGTAGGACCAGTATTAAATATTTACTTTTTCCCACTGGCTTAGAAAATGACAGATTTTCCCTCTGGCCAGATGGGTCTTGCCCCCTCTGATGTGCGTCTCTTGCTGTGACCCCACCTCCCGATCCCAAGACTGGGAGGCTGGGGACCAAGGTGGCAATGACTTTCAGCTCCCCCTCTCCCTCCATGCAGGCTGCCAGGGGCTGCAAGGAGGTGCTCTGGGCAGCTGTTGATGGAAGCCCTGCTCACGTTTTCTGAAATCCTACGGAGATCGATGCCTAGGCTCTTCTCCCTGCCAATCTGTCAGTGTTGTTCTCTGCCCCATTTGTTAACTCAAATCTATCCTGGGATGACAACTTCTGGGAGATGTTGTTAAAGGACTCTCTCCCCTCCCAAGCAAAAAAGAAAAGTATGCATCTTTTGTTCAGCAGCGTTTGGGAATGAGGTGTAGAATTAAAATTTCTAGATGTGACCTTTTTCTCTTAAGGTTTATTTTTAAACCACTTTGGGGATGAAGTCTCCTCTGAAATGTATGATATAAATTCCAGCTGGCCTGGGGAGAGTCTGCTGAACGAATGCCCAGCCTCTTGCTACGATCTACGGCTGTCGTTAGGATCATCAGCCCTTCAACCTGATCAGTAACTACGTCAGGGTCTCAGGCTAGGAACGTGGGGCAGGCTGTCGGGTCTCTACCCAATGTTCCTGGGCTGCAATTCTTCTCAACCTCCTGAACTGCTTTTTACATTTTTTTCTGTCTCCTCTCTACTATTACTACATTATTTATTGACGCTTTTTTTTTTTTTGGCAAAATCCCTCTGTTCATTATTACTTTTTAGTCTATTACACAATACAGAAGCTCAGAAAAACAAGCTTATTTTCTCTATGGCTATTGGTCTGTCCAATCCAGAAAGTTCATGAATCTTAGTGTATATTCTGGGGACACTTAGTGACCCTTTTCTTTTGCTTCTTCATTGATCTCTTGTTTCAGCTGTGTTTCAATTGCTCAGATTCTCAGACGAGGTCCCTTCATACCTATGACACATCTCGTTAGGACCAGATATGGTGTCTTTGGGCTCAGGGCCTGTATGCAGCTAACGAGACAAGAAGGTAAAGCAAACCTTACCTTTTTGTAGAGACTCCTCAGATCTCGGTACTGCCACATGCTGTTCAGAACCTGAGATGCGGCCTTGATTACCTTCGGAGAGTGTCTGATAAAGAAAAGACAGGACACGCAAGATGGTGAGCGGGACAGCTGGGCTTCAAATTGACTTGTCAGGAAACAGCAAGAATAAAAAGAATAAAAGCTTCATGGCTTTTCTGGCTCTTTTCTTTTTCCAGACTGGACAGTACAAGGGATGGCTGTCACCCGTCTCCAGCCTCCTTCTCACCCACATAGCCATGAAGGGGAGAGACAGGAAGGCACTGCCATTGGGCAAAGAATTTTCAAAATGCAAACCCAAGAGCTGTGCATTGCAAATGCAAACCCAAGAGTCAGAAGGCAGATTTAGCACTGGACTACAAAATGGAACAGAAAGAAGAGAAGGATAGCGACTAGGAAAGGCCAGATAAAAGGGTTTTAATGGCAGTGTTGTTTAACACCTGTGTAGTAAGCAAGGAGAAAAAAGATATTCACTTTCTCAACTGAAGTGTGAGAGCACGTAGAGCGTTGGCTCTACATACCTGAGGGGTTACAGGCAATTGTTTTCCGTTTGCTGATGATGCCAAGCACAAGTGACTGGCATGAAGCTGACGTGTGCACACACTGGCACACACACTCTCTTACATGTATATGGAGGGATGAGCGTGGATAAGCATCTATAAACAAAGCCCTTCATGCAATTAAAGTTCTCTCCTCTGGATCAGAGTGAGAAAGTAAGGTCATGAAAACCTTTGGACTAGCGGTTCTTATCATTTTTTTCGAGTCATGGCTTTGAAATCCCTATGAAACTACAGCTAAATATTTCGCCTTTTGGTTCAGTGCCAACCTGCATCTCAGAACAGACACTAGGTCAATACATCCATGTTGATTAAATTTGATCCAATTCTTGGAAGTCACTTTGACTAGTGGTGAGGGCAACTATTAACTACCTGCGGATTCTTTGTTCCAACGGGCTGGGCCCACAACAGCTGCACAACTGGAGTGGCTACTGTGACACTGTGCCTGATCGCAAGGGCTGGCACACTTTTGCTGTAAAGGGTCAAATAATAAATATTCTGTGATTTGTGGGCCATATGGTCTCGGTCGCAGCTGCTCAACTCTGCCATTGCAGGATGAGACGAGTCATAAATAATAGACAAAAGAACGGAAGTGGCTGTGTTCTAATCAGGTGTTACTTACAAGAACGGGTGGTGGTGGGGATTTGGCTTGTGGGTTGCAGTTGGCCGACCCCTGGCCTATGTGGTGACTCCTGGAGTTGGGCAGGACGTAACCACTCATGAGGACTCCAAGGTGAAGTCCACCCCTGAAGCTGACCCATGGTGCAGTGGCCCACAGATCCCTCAAAGAGAACATCTGAATTGAGATCAAAACTGTTTCTGACATAAAATAGTTTTTAAAATGCAAAGTAAGCAGATGGTTAGATGGGATCAGGTCGAGCTTGGATTTGAAAGCCAGAGCGAATGGATGTGTGAGGACCTGCAAATGAAATGATGGGATGCTAATACATGATCAGTTAAATGTCTGCTATTTTCCTGGGTCTTCACTTTTGCAATGTAGACCAACTACGTTTAAGTATTCTTCATCCGTTTACTTACTGGAAACAGTAACAGTCACTCTTACTATTGTTATTGCTGACTTGGAATTCAACTTTGGCTTGTGTTTGAAAATCTCTTAGTTATAGCGTGTACTTTTAAAAGAAAAAAATACAGAGTTCTTATAAATTTCAAGATTTTTTCTCTATGAAAGATAAGCTGTATTTAAGTAATATGTTTTCTTTCACTGAAATGGACAGTTGCTAAATGATTTCACTTTTATGCTAGTATCATGCTCTAAATGTATTAAATTCTTTTGATTTAGAGAATTTTAGATCTTTTCATGGATACAGACTTTATTCTTTTTTAAAAAACTGAATTATAATTGACCTACAGCACTCTGTCAGTTCCTAGTGATCCGATATCTGTATACATTACAAAATAAACACCGTGATAACTCTGTCACTACACAAAGTTATTACAATATTATTGACTATATTCCCTGTGCTGTATATTTCATCCCTATGAGTCATTTATTTTGCAACTGGAATTTTGTATCTTTTAATCTCCCTCACCTATTTCACTCACTCCCCCCGCCCAATCCCACCATCCCGCTCTTCTCTGGCAACCACCTGTTTGTCCTCTGTATCTGTGAGTCTGTTTCTGTTTAGTTATGTTTATTCTTTTGTTTTGTAGATTACACATACAAGTGAAATCATATGGTATTTGTCTTCCTCTGACTTATTTCACTTAGCATAATACCCTCTAGGTGCATCCATATTGTTGCAAATTACAAGATTTTATTCTTTTTTATGGCCAAGTAATAGTCGTCTCTGTCTCTGTCTCTCTCACTATCTATCTATCTATCTATCTATATCTATCTCACATCTTCATTATCCATTCACCTGTCGATAGATACTTAGGCAGTTTCCATATACTGACTATTGTAAATAATGCTGTCATGAACATTGAAGTGCATGTATTTTTTTCTAATTCGTGTTTTTGTTTTCTTTGGAAAAATATACAGAACTTGAATTGCTGGATCATATGGTGGTTCTATTTTTAATTTTTTGAGGACCCTCCATGCTGTTCTCCATAGTGGCTACACCAATTTACATTCCCACCAACAACATACGAGGGTTCCCTTTCCTCCACATCCTCGCCAACACTTGTTATTTTTGTCCTTTTGATGATGGCCATTCTGACAGGTGTGAGGTGATACCTCACTGTGGTTTTGATTTGCATTTCCCTGATGATTAGTGATGCTGAGCATCTTTTCATGTGCCTGTTGGCCATCTGTATGTCTTCTTTGGAAAAATGCCTATTGAGGTCTTCTGCCTATTTTTTAATTGGGTTGTTTTTTGACATATTGAGTTGTATGTTAGATATATATATATATATCTTGGATATATACAACTGGATATTAACCCCTTGTTGGTTATATCATTTGTGAATATTCAATAGGTTGTCTTTTCATTTTGTTTATGGTTCCCTTTGCTATGCAAAAGCTTTTAAGTTTAATTAGGTCCCTTTTGTTTATTTTTGCTTTTGTTTCCTTTGCCTGAGGAGACAGACCTCTCAAAATATTGCTATGACTTGTGTCAAAGAGTGTCCTGCCTATGTTTTCCTCTAGAAGTTTCAGATTTCCGGTCTTCCATTTAGGTCTTTAATCCATTTTGGGTTTATTTTTGTTTATGGTATTAGAGAATGTTCTAGTTTCATTCTTCTGCATGTAGCTGTTCAGTTTTCCCAGCATCACTTATTGAAGAGACTGTCTTTTTTTGCCATTATATATTTTTGCCTCCTTTGTCATATATTAATTGACCATAAGTGCATGGGTTTTATTTCTGGGCTTTCTATTCTGTTCCATTGATCTATGTGTCTGTTTTTCTGCCAGTACCATACTGTTTTGATGACTGCAGCTTTGTCTGACTGGTTATTTTTTTTATATTTCCTAGTTCCTTGTTAAAGTTCTCACTGTGTTCATCTAGTCTCTTCCCGAGCTCAGTTAGCATTCTTATTACTCTTGCTTTGAACTCTTTGTCTGGTAAACTATTTATCTCTGTTTCATTAGGGTTGTTTTCCACTGTCTTCTCTTGTGCTTTTGCTTGAAACATATTTCTCTGTCTTCTCATTTTGTTCAACATTCTCTGTCTCTATTAACTTAGGTGCAGGAGCTGACTATTCCAGTCTTGAAGGGGTGTCCTTGTGTGGGAGCATCCCTATGCCATCTGCGTGTGTGCCCAGTGGATGGAGAGACAGCTGGCACAGTAGTGGGAGAGCTGGATCTGAAGTGAGCATGGGTCACGTCTTCCCCTGGGGTGTGCTGGCAGCTACCACCTTGTTGGATGATATGGCTGGAGATGGAGGGGTTAGAGTCAGAGCCAGGTGTGAACCAGGGCCTCTACTGTGCTCAGTGGCAGTTACCACCATATCAGGGGCTGGAGCAGAAGCCCTGAGGGTCTAGTCCGAGCTGGCTCTGTTCTCTCTAAGTGTGCACACTCTCCTTGGTCATGGTGGCCTCCGCTCTAGTGGAGAGCAGTGCTGGAGCAAGAGGGGCTGGAGCAGGTGCCCAGTGTGGGCTGGCATGGTCTTGGGAAACCAGCTAGAGCTCCAGACAATTTTCAATCTGCTTCCTCTGAGCTATTCCCAGGAGTAAGCAAGTTTGTGCATGGGCTGTTGACAAGGAATCTTGTTCTCTTCTTCTGTAAATCCTACTGGTTTTTAACCAGGTAAGGCAACTTGTCTTCCTGGTGTCTGACCCCAGGGCTGGGGTGCTCAGTGTGTGATATGAACCCCTCGCTGCCCAGGGAGGATCCCTAAGGCCATGATATCTCCTTCTTCTTCTGTGTCCTCTGCTAAGGGCACAGGTCCTGACCCGACCACAACTCCTCCCTTCCTCTGTAGATACAGACTCCATGTGTATCTTTCTTTACAGACTTGGTTGAAGAAGAGCCTTTCTGCAAGTCTCCAGGTTGCTTTCAGTAGAGTTGCTCCACGTGAAGATGATTTGATGTGTTTTTTTGGGGGAGGTGGGCTTGGTTTCCTCCTACTCCACCATCTTATCTCCCTCCTCCACATTTAATATTTTTTACTTCATATTTTGTATCCTTTTTTGTTTTGTATATCCCTTAACTACTTATTGTGGTTATAGATGATTTTACTACTTCTGCTTTCTAACCTTCCTACTGGTTTTATAAGCGGTTTATCTACTAGTTTTACTGTATATATATATATATATATATATATATAGTGTGTGTGTGTGTGTGTGTGTGTGTGTGTGTGTGTGTATGTGTGTGGTATGCGGGCCTCTCACTGTTGTGGCCCCTCCCATTGCGGAGCGCAGGCTCAGCGGCCATGGCTCACAGGCCTAGCTGCTCCGTGGCATGTGGGATCTTCCTGGACCGGGGCATGAACCCATGTCCCCTGCATCGGCAGGCGGACTCTCAACCACTGCACCACCAGGGAAGCCCTTTACTGTATATTTATCAATGATATTTTTCCTTCGGTAATTTTCATATTTCTACTTGTGGTCTTTTCTTTTCCACTTAGAGAAGTCCCGTTAACATTTCTTGCAAAGCTGGTTTAGTGGTGCTGAACTCTTTTAGCTTTTTCTTGCCTGTAAAACTCAAATCCGAATGATAATCTTGGTGGATAGAGTATTCTGGGTTGTAGCAGTTTTTTCCTTTCATTGCTGTGAATATATCATGTCACTCTCTTCTGGTCCGCAAAGTTTCTGTGGAAAAGTCAGCTGAGAGTCTCATGGGAGTTCCCTTGTACATACTCAGTTGCTTTTCCCTTGCTGCTTTTAAGACTCTCTCTTTATCTTTAATTTTTTCCATCTTAATTACAATGTGTCTTGGTGAGGACCTCTTTGGGTTCATCTTGTTTGGGACTTGCTGTACTTCCTGGACCTGGGTGTCTTTTTTCTTTCCCAGGTTAGAGAAGTTTTCAGCTATTATCCCTTCAAACAAGTTCTCTGCCCCTTTCTCTCTCTCTCCTTCTGGATCCCTACAATGTGAATATTAGTATGCTTAATGCTGTTCCAAAGGTATCTTAAACTATCCTCATTTAAAATTTCTCTTGTATTTGGTGAGCTTGGTTGAATTCCACTACTCTGTCTTCCAGTCTGCTGATGCATTCCTCTGTATCATCTAATCTACTATTGATTCTTTCTAGTGTAGTTTTTATTTCAGTTATTGTATTCTTCAGTTCTGTTTGGTTCTTCTTCATATTTTCCAACTCTCTGTTAAACTTCTCACTGTGCTCATTCTTCTCCTGAGCATCTTTATGATCATTACCTTGAACTCTTTATTGAGTTGATTGTTTATTTCTATTTCACTTAGTTCTTCTTCTGGAGTTTTAGTTTTCCTTTATTTGCAACATATTCCTCTGTCACTTTGCTTTATTCTCTGTCTTTATTTCTATGTATCAAGTAGGTCTGTTACATTTCCTGATCTTGGAGAAGTGGTCTTATGTAGGAGATGTCTCATGGGGCCCAGCAGCATGCTCTCCTCTGGTCACAGAGATGTATGCTCTAGGGGTGTCCCCTTTGTGGTCTGTGTGGGTCCTTCTTTTGTGGTAGGGCCAACTACTGTGGGTGCACTGGTAGGGGGGCTGGCCCCTGGTCCAGTTGGCTGCCAGGCCCTGCCTTGTGTGGAGGCTGCTGGCTTGCTGGTGGGCAGGGCTGGGTCCTGACACAGCCGGCTGCTCGATGTAGGGGGTCCCGGGACTGGGGCTGACTGGCTGGTGGGCAGGTAAGCCTCTGGTGCTAACAGACTAGAGGGAGGACTCCTAAAGGCACTTGCTAGCACCAGTGTCCTCATGGTAGAACTAGCTCCCCAAAATGCCTGCTGCTAGCATCTCGGTCCCCAGGGCGGGGGAGTCTCAGTTGCCTCCTGCCTCTCTGAGAGTCTCTCTAAGATAGGCAAGGGGTCTGACCCAGGCTGTTTTCAAACTGCTACCTCTGCACGCTCTGTTTTGAGGTATGTGAGATTTTGCGTGAGCCCTTTAAGAGCGGAGTCTGTGTCTCCTATGGCGTCCCTCCAGCTCTCCCATCTGGGGGCTTGTCTTCCTGGTGCTGGCGAGCCCAATGTAGGCTCCTTGGGGAGAACCTCTGCAACTGTGATGATCCTCACATGTTATTCTTATATAATCAGTGCTGAGCAAAGATTAAATGCTATGTTTTGCTGTAGTGTATCACCACTAGCTAGATATGTAGCTATGACAAAAGTCAAGCAACTCTAGAGAAATACGTATTAATAATATTCAGGTAGCGATAATATAGTTGAAACATACTTAGTATGCAAAAATTCCTCTGATGGTGTAATTTTTTTTCTACTCCTTGCTTAGTTACAAAATAGAAAGAGACTGTGAATACGTAATGAACAGCAGCTTTTAACCTCTCAATTAAAATGCCAATACATCACAGTGTTATAAAAAACTGATGAAGGTCAAAGAAACATCACTTTCTTCTTAGACTTTAATTTTGATTCATCCACTAGACTGGTCCCATGCAGTGTCTACTTGAAAAACTATAACTATTGATTGAAGGACTTGAACAACTGAGTACCTCTTATGTGACAAGTGATTATAACTTCAGCCACAAACAGAGCTCCTTACTGACAAGTAACAGTCGAGGCTGTTAAATGGCTTTTCTGTCTTATGACAAAATACAGTGACACACTCAACACTATTTCCTACATAACTGTTAAATCTGAAAAAATACAAATGTACTTTTGAAACAGATGGACTTGTCCATATTGCATGTTTAAAATGATGTGAAAAGAATAAGTTATCAAGACTTAAAATGGTAAGTATGAAAGACTCCTGTGAGAGTCATTAACGATTACACAATGTCTGATCTTCACCAGAGGTGTCAAATTAGGGGCAGCTGAGAATTTCAGTTGATGCCATTCATTGTGGGTGTTCAGCACGGCCATTCCAGCCGCAGGATTCCAGAATAATTCTTCCAGTGTATTGGCAAAACATGGTGAGCTATACAGTTCAAACAGACTGTGATTGGCAACGTGCCAGGCTGACTCATTAGTATCACGGCATATTTAAGCTTGTGTATGTTTAGAAATAAAACCTATAAATATGTTAAAGGCAGAATCATAGCCTCGTAGGTTTTTTCATCTGTGTTTTCTCATGCGATCTCAAGTTAAAAGTTTGAATAATTTTTTGAGGAGGGCAAGTTTGCAAGCATTTTATAACTTAACTAGAGCCAACTGATATCCCTCCCTTTTCCAATTATTAAATCATCTCCAATTCCAAAAATTCTATTTTCAATAACGTGTTTCTATTTTGTTCAAACCCGTCTAGAAGGCCATGGGAGTCTCAGTGCCTACCCTCATGACAGAATTGAGTGATAAATGGTGAGTTTAGTGGTAAGATCCAGAGCAATTCTTCTGGATTCATTTTAAGAGCAGTGAGAAGTAATAATCAAATTGAAGTGTAGGTGGCTGACAAGGTTATCTCCAGTTATAAAAACCTTGTTTTGATCCCCAAATTAGTCACTAAATATAAAAGAGATAAACCACATAAAATAGTGGATGAGACTGACTAAGCAGGAGAGTTATAAATGGGAAGATGCTTGACTCAAAGCAATTCCACACTTATTATTAATTCATAAATCCAGACTGCTAACACTGGGGAAAAAAGATAAACAATGACATGAAATGAGTATCCCATAAAGAAATTTTCAGTCAGTTTAAAGCACAGATTTGAGATTATTTGTAATGAAAGGAATCTCCCATTAACAATAATCCAGATGGGAACAGACTGAACAGGACTATTTTCTGGATGGGCAATGTGGATATATACTGTTTCATAGATGGTTTCCACAAATGAGTTTTTAATTAGTTTCATCAAATAATTTTCTTTGACCACAGGACTGATAAAAGCATCTCTTCTCTTTAAGGTCCAGTAGGGATGCTCACACAGATGGAAGGAATTAATGTGACCACCTCCCACAGCTCTACTGTCTTACGATTCAGAGAAAACACTTTCGTCTTGGAATGTCCCATGAATATAGACAAATATATCACAGAGTTTTTGTGGACTATGGTTTTACTGTGTGAGCATGTGTGTTTGCTTAAGAAAAGCATCAACATATTAAGTTCTTAATGCTCAAAACAGGTAAGCATTTCAATTAGAGATTCCAAAGGTCTACTGAAGCTATATAAAACAGAAAACCACGTGGCTTCCTGCCTATGTAGAAGAGCATTTTACCGTAAGTATTATAAGATATAATTCAAGCCATCCATCTACATTGCACAATTATTACACGAGTCCAGAGGGGCTTCTCTGTACTTGATATAGGAAAGTATTCAAATCCTAATCCTGAATTGTTCACTGAACCTATTTGGAGGTCTCAGGGTGCTTAAACAGAAGCCCTGAAACTTCACTTATTATGCAATGAAAATATCTTGAATTAAATGAGAGAATTTCCAAAAAGTCTTAAAGTGCATCCTTCACAGCCTTTAATAATAGGAGAAAAATTATTCAGCGTTTAGATATAAAGGAATGGAGGGGTGTGCCCAGGAATGCAAAGTCAAGAAGTAGGCCCTTGATAACAAAAGGTTTACCCTTTTAATCTTACTTGATTACATTGAGGGACTTCCAGGAGGCAAAACTGAATAAAGGTTAGTGAATGTTTTTGTAAAATTGACAGCTCGCTGATATACTGACACTGTGGCTTGTGAAGATCTGTTTTGGTTACACAGAGTAAGATACCATCGATTCTTAAATCAAACTGGGGACAAACCTGTTTCTGGCGGTGCCGCTCCTTTGACATGAGCCTTTTCTCTCTTTATTCCATTGGCATAAAAGCCCTCCTTCCTCACTGTCTCTATCCCCTCTGCCCCGGAAATTTCTATTCAGTCTTTAAGACTTGATTATTACTTCTTTTAGGAAATATTTTATGACAGCCCCTCCCTCAGTTTTAGATTGGAAAGTATGAGCACAGTGACTTGTTAAATTCAATAATTTGTCCCAAAGGCACAGCTGGTAAGGGAGGGTGCTGGTTGGACGCTGATTTCTCTCTGACTCCGTCACACTGTTTTCTCCCCCATCCTCCCTGACTTGCTAAGCAGAACTGAAGAGGCACAGAACAAAAGGATGTGGATCCATCATCAACACTTGGACTTGCAGCCGCAGAGGAACAGCTGCCACCAAATACCTTCATGAATCAGGGTCGTCTCTTCCGTACGGAAGGAACTTGCTAGTCACTAGACTGGACGCTGGATTGTCAAGCCTATCTTACTAACATCCCAGGACTCACCAAGTCATGAGTTATTTATCAAACCAAAATTATTAGTAAGATCAGCTTTCCTTGTGTGGGGGGAAACTGGAAGACTGGAAACTATCTGCTGTTTCTCTTGATTATCAGACACCAGAGTGCTTCCCAGTGACATTCAGTGGTGTTACCCATACCCAGGGGATGCTGGGCACACTTAGAACCGATTCTACCAATACCAATTCTTTGTGATGGGAAGTCACCGTCTGACTTACTTGTCTCCTTTGCTTTTGGAGATGCCGACCAACTTCTCGATGCCGCCGGCGTCCCGTAAGGCCTTGGCGTTCTCCATGTTCTTGGTGATCACCTCGTGCAGGGTGCAGCACACGGCTGTCACCGTGTCGTCCGACATGGCCTTGCTGGCCGCGTTGCTGCTGTTATTCCCGCCTGGAAGCCGATGGACCAGGTCTCGCATGGCGTATTTGCCTTTGGAAAAGAAAACGAAGGGAAGAGCTGAAATGTGGTCAAAACCAAGGAAGAGTGTGGAGGGAGAGGTGCAGACGGGGGTGAAAAAGAGAACACAAGGGCCCACGTTAATGTAGTGTTGTCTGTTCCCCGTCACTGATTATTCTTTATGGGGTAACCGTGGACACATACACAGAGAAAACGGTATTTCTTCACAGCAAATGTACGGACTTTTGGTGCTGGACGGATGTGGGACTGACTCTTTGGACAAGTTATTTCATGCCTCTGAGCCTCAGCTTTTTAAATTGCGAAGCAAGAATAATGGTACCTCCCTTACAAGGCTGTTGCGAAGAAATGTGTGGGAAGCACTTAACACACAGTGATGACTCTGGACTCAGGACTCAGTAGAAGTTAGCCATCAGTGGGTTCCTGCTTGCTATTCACAGAAGTCAGGAAAACATAGGGTAATTCTAACATAACCTCCAGAATGCCTTGACGGGAGCTATGTTGGGACTTGTATTATTTAACAAATAAGAGTCAAAACACAAAAATGTATGTATATATGACATCTGCATTCTGGTCCCTATAAAGCAAAGAGAAACATTTAAAGCGGGGAGAGAAACTACAAACAATATATAAAACTAGGTGACCTTTGAACTAGGGTAACTGGATGCTCGATCTGTCTCTCTGATGGGATTTTATTGAATGGTTCTACCATATAACATTTACTAATTTGACATGTTTTACTTCCCGTGGAAAAAATAAGATAAAATGCAACTTTGCTTCCTTAATTCACTTTATCATTATTAATCACGCTACTCCCCATGATAGAGGTACTTATAATGACATCTTTATGGAATACTTTTAGTTTACAAAGCCATTTAGGCATTACCAATAACCCTGCAAGACAATTAATTCATCCCACCTGCAGCTTCCAGTTCTGTTCCATTAATTTACTTCTGGAACTAAGTAGAGGAATGCCTGTAGCAAAGTTGCCTGTTCCCAAATTTTTCAGGTGGAATCGGCACGTGTCCAAAGTTAAATTCCTGTCTTGTCTCCCATCCCCCAATTAGACATATTTAGGCAGCTCCTAAAAGCCATTTAAATATTGTTCCTCCTCATAGGTCTCTAAAGGATAACTTCTTTTGCTGTTTAATTCTCTGGCACGTGGTGCTTGGGGGGCAGGAAATGGAACCATGGAAGGAGGCAATGACATCTTAATTCCAGGCAGTAATAAATAAAACATAAGACTTCGTAATTTTGGTATCTGCTTTTATCCTATGTTTAGGTGGCTTATTTTAGCTTGGATGAAAAAAAAAAATGCTGATGTCTAAATTACCGAAATAGGAAAGTGTCTTCATTCACTTGACGACAGCTGAGAAGTGTCTGACAAAAATGGTTTGCCTGAAAACCCCCAAATGTAGCATATTTATTTTCCAATGACAGCACTTAAAACAGGTTGGAGAAGATCCTCTGTACACGATAGTCCTCTGAGCACCTGGCTTTACCTACTCATCATTAAATCACACTCAGCTCGGGCTACGAGTTTAGTTGAGCTCAGCAGCCTGGCGACTTTATCATTAACCCCGCACAAACCACTGTCAGACCAACTTGAATTCACAGAAGTGAGAAGATGGGCGCATTCTTTATCAGGGAAGTGGTGGAGGAAGGAAGCAGCAAACTCTCTCAATCTTTGTGCATACAGGGGCATCCCCACTCCTGAATGAGCACAGAAGACTGGTTGTGTGGCCTTGCACATCATCAACATTGAAAGCAAAAATGAGGAGAGGGAGAGGATTAGGCTAGAGCATTTTTTTTTTTTAGTTTTTGTTATCATCATTTAAAAAATTACAGGTTTCCCTGGTGGCGCAGTGGTTGACAATCTGCCTGCCAATGCAGGGGACACGGGTTTGAGCCCTGGTCTGGGAAGATCCCACATGCCGCGGAGCAACTAGGCCCGTGAGCCACAACTACTGAGCCTGCGCGTCTGAAGCCTACGCTCCGCAACAAGAGAGGCCGCGATAGCGAGAGACCCGTGCACCGCGATGAAGAGTGGCCCCCATTTGCCGCAACTAGAGAAAGCCCTCGCACAGAAACGAAGACCCAACACAGCCATAAATAAATAAATAAATATTTAAAAATTACAACAGACTTGAAAGTGTGGTTTCATCTTACACAGCTTCCCAACCCGTGAGCCCTGAATGAGAAGCAAGGTGTCCCCATGATGTTCAAGGGGCAGGAGCCACCACGTTCCCCAGAGCAGCCTCTTCGACTTGCCCCAGTGTGCTGGACGAATACTGTCATTTTGAATGTGCTCCCCAGTGTGGAAAACGGCAGGAGTCACTGCCATATATATATGGGCACAGGGACATCAAGAGCACCTGGGGCTCAGCAGTGCTTTGGGAGGCTATGAGGGTGCAGAGGAAGAGAGCAGAAGTGTACAGGCCTCACCCTGTGGATGAGCCTGCCAGGAAACAGAGGAGCTTCCTGTCTTAGAAGGGGTGCCGCCAACCACTGCAGACTGAAGACCCCTCCCCCTCCCTCTGCATTTAACTTCGGTTAAAAATAAGTAAATAATATGACACAGCCTAACATCACAGAGCGACTCATACTGATCATACCACCTAGCAGGTGACTAATATTTCAGGACAAGAGCAAGCAACTTGTGACTACAAAGACCTGGCCCTGAGGGGATCAGGAAAAGAAGAGCAGCCATGATGGAGAGTCCTCAGACAAGGCTTCGAGCCCAGTGAAACGGTGGTGGTAACGCAGGGGAAGAGGATTCAGAAATTTCTAGCGGGGATAATGAGGTGGGTAGCGGAAACCAGGTGAATTCAGAAACTTAATAATAATGGACAAGTTGGATTTCTATTTTATTTTTCCACACAAAAGAAAACATGCTCAGCAATTCCCTGGTGGTCCAGCGGTTAGGACTCGGTGCTTTCACTGCCGGGGCCTGGGTTCAATCCCTGATCAGGGAACTTACATCCTACAAGCCGCACGGTACGGCCAAAAAAAAAAAAGAAAAACATGCACAACTAGTAAGCATCATATGGGAGAGACAAACTGGTCATCAGGTTCAAAAGACACTTAGATTTGGGAAAACAAAGTGAATACCTTGCCACCATTGGGAACCAAGGTGCTTTCCATTATCCACTCTCACTGGCATCACATGTTACAAAAGAAAAGCATGTTGCTCCGAGATTCAGACAGATGCTCCCTGAGATGAAAACAAAACAAAAACAACTCCACCACCACCACCAACTAAAGGTCACTCTGTCTTGCTCAAATTCTCAACAGAAATGAATCCTCGGGCCATTTCTTTGAAGTTACTTAGTCTCTCATGAAAACAACTTTATCTTTGACATGTGTAATACTGATATGAGATGACTACTGGACATATGACAATTGTGTAAAAAAAAAAAAAACTACTGTTCCTATCAGTGACAGACTAACTGTAACCTTGTAACTTTGCTACCCTTCCTGCCCTGTGTGTGGGCAGGCGTGTTTGTAAATTACAATTAAAAACTATTTTCTCTTTATGTTTCTTTCTGGGGTCTTCTGTTCAGAGTGGGTGGGCATGTGGAGGCTTGTGGATGGACTCAGGGGACTTAACAAACTGTGTTGCCCTAGAGCGGTGCTCCTTGTTGAGCTCCTGTACACAGAAGACCTGGTAGGAATTTCACGATGAGGTAACAGAGCTTTGCTCTCGCTGACTGTGCCTGTTTCTGTTTCTATTTCAGCACTCAGCCTATTCCTGGTATTCATTTGCGCACTACCCCTTGGTTTCTCCACTGGTGGGGGCAGTATTGAGTAGTGAGTGGTTTTATGGGCTAACCACCTGTGATCTTGAGTCCTTTCCTAAACTGATTGTGTATCACTCTGGATCGTTCATATGGTCCTCTGTATAGCTGGTCTTTGTGATGCACTATGGTAAACTCAAATCTCTCAAACCAACGTTAGAGGAAAGAGGTTAAAAAAAAAAATGTCAGCCGAGAACAGCCCTGGATCAGGAATATAACAACTCCTTTGTCTCTGAGGTCTTAGTGCATCTTTGGCTTCCCTGTTTCTGGAGATGCTAAAACTGACCTGTGAGTTTTTGCTGAGTTGCTCTAAACTAATTTTTTTTCTTCCATCTTTTATGGTGGCAAAATACACATAATAAAAATGTATCATCTTATCTACTTTTAAGTGTACAGTTCAGTGATACTGATTAAATTCATATTGTTGTGCAACCGTCACCACCACGTATCTCCAGAACTCTTTTCGTCTTGCAAAACTACAATTCTATTAAACTCTATTAAACCATTAGACAATAACTCCCCACCCCCATCCAGTAACAACCAACGTGCTACTTTCCATCTCTATGATTTTGACAACTCTTAAGTATCTTATGTAAGTGGAACCATACAGTGTGTCTTTATTTTGCTCAGCAATAATGTCTTCAAGCTTCATTCATATTGTAGAATATATCAGACTATCCCTTTTTTTTTTTTTAAAGTCTGGATAATACTTCCCTGTATGCATATACCACATTCTGCTTATCCATTCATCTGTTGGTGGACACTTGGGTTGCTTCCTTATTTCAGTTATTGTGAACGATGCTACTATGAACAGAGGTGTACAAATATCCTTTCTCTTTTGATTTATGTGTCTTTGGATCTAAAGTGAGTCTCTTGTAGATAGCATATAGTTGGATCTTTTTTTTTTTTTCTTTCTTTCCATTCTGCCAATCTCTAACTTTCGATTGGAGAGTTTAACCCCTCTATATTTAAAATAATTATTGTAAGAAGGGACTTAACTTGTGTTATTTTGCTATTTGTTTTCTACATGCCTTGTAGCTTTTCTGGTCCCTTATTTCTTACATTACTCTCTCCTTTGTGTTTGATTGTGTTTGCAGTGAAATGTTTTAACCTCCTCATTTCCTTTTGTGTATATTCTGTAACTATTCTACTTGTGGTTACCATGTGGATTACATTTAATGTCCTAAAGTTATAACACTCCAATTTAAATTTATACCA